GGCTGTATCCAAGAACGGAAACTGGTAGGCAGATTGAAGTTCCTTGTTCGTTATTCTTAACATGTTGCTGTTTGTGCCAAATTTTTATCCAACCACAGTGAAAGGGCTCTTTACGTGGCGTAAGTTTGGAATTTTCCGCTTGGAATAGAAGTCCTTGCCACCGCAGGTGTTCTTTATTTCTATTCATTCTAGTACAAGAAGCAGAAAGTTAGGTGCAGGAGCCCTGGCGATGAAGTGGGTGATGCGTCGGCTGCCGGCTACAAGGTCAGTAATATGAATCCACTGAGCTGCTCTGATGGAGAAAGATAAGGGCTTCTACTCCAGGAAAAGAGTTACAGTCTTGGCACAGTTCAATCCTCCCCTTTACGGTTGCTGCTATCTATGCACTGGAATTGAATGGATGGCACAGAGAGTTTGATATGGCTTGTTAAAACGTAGGCACATGTTAAAACGTAAGCCTCAACTGCTTTCATATCTCCAGAGGATTTAAAAGTAAGTTGCCATGGGTGGTAGTTACATAATCTGGTGCCAATTTGGGACTTGAGAGGATTAAGAGGGAAGGGGTGGAGCCTAGCCTCTTAATTCAGTCACAGCCAATCAGGTAGGTCTCTGTGTGGGTGTGGTTTTCTCCTGAGGATTCTGGGAAATCCTGATTTTTCCTACTTGGAGGAGGGAGATTCTGGCTCTCTGCTCACTCCCGGCGAGACATCCCTGAGGAGAAGCCACATGGACCTATCCAGATGCAGCCCTGGGTGCTGGAGAAGCCACATGGAGACCCCTATCAGCACTGAGATGTTTACAATGCCACTGGATCCAAAGACTTTCTACCCACTGGCCTGTGATTGTCCTGCATTCAGCATCATTGCATGTGTTTCCTGAGTCTAAATAGGACTTTATAGATTGGTATCGGACATATGGGCTAATATCAGATTTATGGGCGTAGACTTGACTGGGTTGGGATGCTTTCTTAATGTAAAATTACCCTTTATATAAAGCTCTCTTGTATACACATATAAGCTTCTATGTATTTGTTTCTCTAGTCTACCCAGACTAACACACGATGCAACTTATTCTCTTAAGGAGCCTTGGTAGTGCAGTGGGTTAAGCAAAACCATCAGTCAATCCATAGTAAAAAGATGAGGCTGTCTGCTCCCAGAGGTGAACTGTCTCTTTGGTGCAATTCTTCTCTGTCTTCTGGTGTCTCGATGAGCTAGAATCAGCTCAGTGGCAGTGGGTGGGTTTACAGAAAGTATTGAATTTTGGGGTGTGGGGTGGGGTAGGCATTTTTGAAATACATCAGGGAGAGAAAACATTAGTGGCACATTAAATCACGTTAACAAAACCGCTATCTACAGAGAGTGAATTTGAAACATGTGATGTTCCATGTAGGAAGCATGCAGTTTCCCAGTCTGCCAAGTAATTTCATTATTAAGAACTTGAAAAAACCCCCACAGAATCTAAAATAGGTAACACTTCAATAAAATAATTGGCAAGAGAATATAACTAACCTTCAAATAGCTTGCATTCTAGGATCATAAACCCATCCCTATTCATTCTCACAAGTTTCTCACAAGGATTGTTCCGTCTATTCCTGACAGTTCTCTTGGACACCTCCAGATGGCATTAAAACCCTTTGCCCATGGTTTCAAGCACCCAAACTTTAACAAGAAACCCACATTTAAGACCAGTCGCAATCAGCATATCATCAGAACCTATGACAAGGCAACGGCTTGGAACTTCTTGGCTAACATCTTTATAAAGACACACGTACTATGTTCACGTTTCTTATGGAATCATATGCCATTAGGTAAAAACCAAATGATCTTTCTAGGTTGGGAAATAGATTTGGGACCAATGAAGACACTAACAGAGAGGGTTTCAAAAAGGTTTGGGGTGGGGGGATAAATATGAAATGACAAGATAATAAAATTTTCCTACAAACTTTCTGAAGCCCCCTGGGCTTGTTTTTTTTTATCACAAGAGTGATTTCTAATGAATAACCCCAAGAGCTTAGTAACAGGAAACGTGGTCCACATGTAAATAAACTCACAAAGCTCTGTTACAATGTGAAAACCTCTCTCAGCTCTGAGAAGAGGGGACAAATAGAAGGGTTTAGAGGCACAAACCAGCTATCGATTCTGGCCAGCGGAACTAAAATCAGGTCATTGGTTAGTCTGTGAATGAGTCTATTTAAACCTGGGTGTATTCAACTGGGCCTCAGATTCAGGACAGAAAAAAAAATACACTTTGACTCTGTCTACCGAGAGGAAGAGATGAAACCGAGAGTGAAGAACCATGTGCTTTACAACCTTTTTTTCAAAAACCTTTTTTCAAATGATTCTGTTGATTCAAAAAGTACCAACCAGTTTAAGAGACTCCTGAAGTTATCAACCAGGGCCATTTTCCATGCCATTCAGAGGGGTGGGTGCAGACCGCATGCAGGCTTGTCGCTCCCAGGTGTGGGGACAGACTAAATCAGAGAGCTGTCACTACTATGGCAGCCCAGCGAGTCTCCAGCTCAAGGGGAGGGGCTTCTGGCTTCCCTCTCCCACTCCAGACACGCCCTCACAGTTCATCACCGTCTACCTTTGTCTAGAAGAGCATTCGCGTTTTCACGATCACTCTTACTGGAGATGCTGAAGCCTAACCGAAAATGGAAATGCATCGGCCGCCGAAAGCATTTCAAAGACACGATCATGCAAAAAGAGAACCGCAGGCTCCCTTACATCATCATTACTACTAAGACAAGATCCTTGTGCAGATTCATAGTCTCAGGCCCGGAAGGTCTATGAAAGAGCAGCCGTCTCTGATAGAAACACAAAAAGGACTTACGATGTATTTGATGTCCCATTGTCTGGACTCTCCGGCTCAGCATCACCTTTCTCTTAAAAAAGAAACAGAGGAGAAATACCAACACGTGAGTGGCTCAGTCTGTAAGATTTAAGAGAGATTAAATAAATTTCCATGCCCGCATTAACCATCTTTCAAAATGTGCAGCAGGAGGCTTTTAAAACATCTTTTATTGGCTGGGAACCGGATTTGCAAAATAATTTCTTCCCTGCAATGCAATCGCCCAGGCACCGGTCTGTGAGTAGGTACCAAAGAGCTATTTACAAACAAGCAGAGGCTCGGAATGGAGACCTTGCCAAAAGCGGAATATCTTCCAGATGGACCCTGGCTAGGAGCTCTGGTGGCACAGTGGTTAAAACACTCAGCTGCCACCCAAAAGACTGCTGGCTGTTAACACATTAGTCATTCTTTGAGAGAAAGACGAGGCAATAGATGCGGCAGTCAGCATCCATCAAAGGAGCCCCGGAGGACACAGTGGTTACACATTGAGTTGCTAACCACACAGTCAGCAGTTCGAAATCAGCAGGCCCTCAAAGGGTGCAAGACAGGCTTTCTACTCCGGTAAAGAGTTACAGTCTTGAAAACTCACAGGGGCAGGTTTACGCTACCCTATAGGATCACTGTGAGCCAAAATCAACTTGACGACAGCGGGTTTGGCTTGGGTTTGGTGGACCCTATGTCCTCCCCGCTTCATCCTACAGACCATCTAAACAGGCTCCACCATAGCATTCTACACTATGAACGGTGGTTCCATCTGCTAACACAGGCTAATCCCCGGTCGGAAGGCGGAGGGGAGAATTGCACGGAACACGGAGTGACACCACCCGGTACAAGATGCCCTCGGGATTTGCATCGCCCTCTGGGGAGTCCAGGCAGCACGTGTGGAGGCAGAAGGAGAGAGACTCCAGCAACCCTTTCTGGCCATCTGAAAGGCTCGAGACATGTTGCTCTAATTTGCACTCATCAAGGATTTAACAGGTTTTTGAGTCAAGGCAATTTGGAGCCAGTTCACATTTTGGAGTTTTACAGGGCAAATTCCTCTTACAATTGACATCATGTAAACCGTAGCCCCTCAATTATGTGTGGTTGGCACCATGTCCTCATTCTGCAAGGAGCACATTCTTCTTATGCCCCAGAGGCCTGGGAGTGTGCATTCCCTGGGATTGCTCACGGCTGCACAGTGCCAATAGTTGAATAAGGCCCTCAGGTGTCCCCTTTTGGTTAAGCGCGCCACAACTAGCTGAAAGGCTGATGTTACAAACCCACCGAGAGACACCTGGTGATGTTTCTGAAAGGTCTCGGGTGAGAAAAACCCTACGAGCAGGTTCTGCTTGGCACTTGAGGGCCGTCAAGAGTCAGAATCAACTTGATAGTAACTATAATCATTGAACAACCCCAGAGAAGGATGTCCGTTGCAAGACAATGGGCAAACTTTCCTTTTGAGTTCTTTCAAG